CACACACACACACACACACACACACACACACACACACACACACACACCAACTCTGTGATACTCACACACACACGCACACACACACAGAGAGATCCATATGCTGCACATCGACCTTCACCTACACAGTGCTGTAATCTACTCATTTGATCCCATAAGAGTCTCTGACAGAAGGCTTTGGAGTAACACATGTTGCACCTACTTAAGGAGTGCTTTACTGATCTCATACATCCAGTTCTAAAGCTGATTTTAATGTCTTCATTAGCGCAAACATTTGGTTCAAACATCAGTCAAATATTTCTTCTTTTTATACTTTTTAATATTTCTTCTTTTCCCCTCCTGGTCTGCTGGTTTCATGTCTGTCTGCGTCTGTTCAGACGACACAATGACAGCATCTCAAAGGCAACAGCTTCCAGCCCTGAACTGAGGAGATAGACAGCCCTGCCAATTACCACCACCCACAGGGGGAGATAGGACCAAAAGAGATGGAGAGGGAAAGAGAGGAATAAAAGGAACCAAGACGGAAGCGCTCCTGACATTTCTCTTAAGAGCGTGATTGAAATCTTGCTTGCCAAGCGGGGTGAGCTGGAGTAACGTGCTGACAAACGAAAATGTGTTCTTGCCTTTTTCCTCCCTTTTCATTCTGGGCAAGTGGCTGTGCGTCACTCCTTTTGTGTCCTTTGATCGGTTCCCTGTCACAGTAGATGGCTTGTGGGTGGCCTTAAGCTGGGTGTGAAAGCTATTATGTCTCTCCTGTCCGCACTATCTCTCCTGTCCATTCCCTCCATCCTCTTACTGTATTGAGATTTCTCTCTCCCTTTCCTCAGTTCACTTCTCTCCTTCTTTGCCATGTCTCCATTAGGCAATTGTCTGCAGTTCATGTTAGGGTCAGAGGAACAGTCAAGCAGACTCAGGGGAGTTCAGAGAATCATTCTCTCAGAGAGCTCGAACACACACATCATAAATAGTCTCAGAGTGGGGCCATTACAGAAATGGTGCCTTGGACTGTAACTGAGAAGGAAGCTGGCATTAACCTGGCCAATGAGCCTCTTGTGTACACACACACACACACACACACACACACACACACACACACACACACACACACACACACAAACACACACGTACCTGAGGGTCTCTCCAGTAGAGCCTCTGCGTTTCCACAGGTTAACCAGACTAGAAGAACGGCTGGCGGCTGAGGACGATTTGCCGTCGCCTACGTGCATGCGCACCACTGTGCTAGTGGTAAAGGCACTGCGCACATTACGCTCTGGTTTGGCTAGAATGATGTACACCTGTTATGAAATAAAACATGATATATGTTAGTTAATATTGCGAAACAGTTCTTAAAAAAAGAAAAACACTTAATTGAATACTGTATATAAAAAGTAAATACCATTGCATCTGTTTTGGCAATAATTTGTGTACACAAAACTGTCCTTCAATAAATCTTCATTTTAGAGGAGTTATCAAGGCTGTCATGACTCACTTTATTAATATAAAACTCTGATAAAAGACAACTCTCAAAAGAAGCAGCAGCTATTTGTTTCTATTGATTGCAATTCTGCTGTTTAAGCACAAACTTTCTCTTTGAAGCTCCACAGGACATCTAGCTATTGTAGAATGCTGCCCATACATTACCAATCTAATGACAGGGTTACTGTCAGACTGTCGATAAGAAACAAACACTTTGGGGTGCCTTATCATCAAATTTAAGTATTCACACACCAAACCAAATTGTAACGTACTACATGCACAACATGAGGACATGAATGAGTATGAAAAGGTATGCAGTGAAAAAAAAAGAAGTTATTCTTTCTTTGTTCTGGGTTGTTTCTTTGCTCTTATAAAAATAATACAAATTGACTTAAAGTTGCTATGAGGAACGGGAGGAGGAGCGCTCAGTGCTCGACATTTTGGAGGAGAGCTTTACCTCGCTGCTCCAAAATGAAAGTTCTTCGTAGTAACATTAAATACTCAACAACGTGTCATGATGACATAAGAAAACAGCTGTAAAATGAATATATACAGTATATATATATATATATAAATATCAAATCATTGAATGCTTGTTGAAAGATGTTTATTGTGGTATTAGCTTCAGCCTTACCTTGGGTACGAACATGCAGCACAGCGCCACAGTGGCACTGAGGCTGACACTGAAGCACATGGTGATAATCTTGTAGTTGGAGCCAAAGTAGATGGGTACGAAGGCCAGCCAGATAATACAGGTGGTGTACATGGTAAACGCAATGTACTTAGCCTCATTGAAATTAGCTGGGACGTTGCGAGTCTTTGAGCGAGAGAGAGAGAGGGAGGGAGAGAGAGAGCGAGAGAGAGAGAGGGGGGGGGGGGTCAGAGACAAAGTGTAATTAAGTTGTCCTACATGTCTTTATTGTTTTTAAATCTTTCTGTGGATTTTGCCTTGTATTGGGACAAAACCAAAATAGACACTGCTACTAACCCGCTGCCTTTCCATTACAGTCATAAATCTGACGCTGGCCTCACCATTATGTGTAAGTGAATTGCATTGTTTTTCTCTGCTGCTGTGTTCATCAACAACGCTTTCGTCTCCATTTAGCATTCTACTCTCACACTCCGCAGAAAATGGATGGCTGCAGGCCACCGATAATCAAACACTGACTTTATAATGTGTTTGGTTCAATAGAATTTAATTTACTGTTGTTGGAAGCGGTAGATCACCGAACACAAACAGTGGGTCAATCATTCCTCTCCGTCTGTGTGACTTTTCACACAAATAGCAGCTTGAAGTAAGCACGGAAAAACATTGGACAGATGTAGTTAGAGCGAACGTTCCTACAAATAACAACATTTGCCTCCAACAATGTGACCTTGAGATTGCACTAACTGATGCTTCTGTGACTTTGTCATTTAAGTCATTCAGTCAATACTGTATCACAGGAAATAAAATGCCATTTGATTTTGAGGTAGTAATGTACAATAGTTACAAAGACATCAGCTTGTACCTTGAAGGCATAGAAGGTGCAGCTGAGGATGAGCAGGCCATTGTATCCCAATGGAGCCACCACACCCAGGTTAGTGGTGTTGCAAATGAGGTTGACCTGGCGGATGCTGGGGTAGTCATGGATCACCTGGAGAGACAGAAAATGAAACAGGCAATGATAAAAAAGCTCAATAAAGCATTTGCTTCAGGCACCATAGATTTCTTCGATAAAACTTTGAATGAGGTGGCCAAGAGTGGCATTGAAATAGATTGGGGAAGCAGTACAAATTATCAAACTAACATTTAAATTTATTACACTGCCAACTTGAGATGTTCAACATTTGAAGTCTGCTGGCAAAGAAAGAGAGCAGGATTGTTTACCTGCTTTGGATAAAGACAACAGTCGAAACAGTATACCTGATGATCTGCTAATTAATCTGCTAATGTATGCGTGAAATGGTTTAAAACGTTAATGAATTAACAAACAGACTCGTGTAGATGTAAGGTCTCATTATGAGGTAACGTCTTCACATTTATCTCTCTCTTATTTGTTAACCTAGAGCTGCTCGATTATGGCAAAAATCATAATCACTATTCATTTTGTCAATATTGAGATCATGAATATCCAACACAATACCTCATTGACTTTAGAAACAGCATGCATTTTTTAAACTTTTTTTTTTAGAAAAGACAGGGCACGCTTGATTTATAACACAAGACAAAACGAGAGCATCATAACATAACGGAACGCGGTATAATAAACTTTTTATCTCAATAAACTTAACATAACCATTGGAAGACAAAATCGTGATTGAAAAAAAAAGTATTAATCACTAAGCTCTATGTTAACCTGTTCTTTAGCCTTTCAACGAGCCACTCTCCCACTCATAATGTAAAACACACACACACACACACACACACACACACACACACAGCTTACCTTAGGTGGCTCCATGAGGAAGAGAGCCACGATGATGCCCAGCTGCAGCAGTATGAGGAGGAAGGCAATGATGAGCTGAGCGCAGGCAGACATGAAGCGAGGTTTCTTTGTACAGATCTTCTTCTTGCTGCCTGCCAGGATCCGAGCGATGCGGTTTGTCTAGGGTCAGATGGCAAACACTATCAGGACCTTTTCATAAAATATATACAGAACATTACTGTATCTACATTCTGGCCATCTGCTTGCTGTATTTCCAAACTGCCATCACTGTCTTTATGCAGACATAAGAAACACTTCAAAAGTATTGCACACAGGAGTTGAGATCTAGTGCAATAAGCTCAAGGTCATTTCTTAAGGGAAGGCTATTAGAGTTCAATGCCATTGTTGAATCCTAAGAAAGACCTGTGCCAAGCTTCTGATGTTATGGTATCCGTATCCCCTTGTTCCAACCATTAAGGAATGGATAGTATAACAATCTGCAGTATCAGGGAGTATGGCCTCGTTTTATTTCCCTGTTTCTTCCTGATTAGGTCCACAGTTCTGTTCCCTCCGACAGATGTGGCTATTCCCTACAACACCATCGATGACCATGGCAGGTTCGCATAGATCTAACGGGTTATTCCAAGTCTGTTTTTCACACTAATATTATCGTTATTTCACGAATCCTTAACTCAATCCTTACCTTGGTGACAAGCGCAGAGTAGCTCATGGCAGGTGACAGGCCTATTCCCAGTCGTTGGAGGTAGCAGTGGATGACATGGGGTTTGGTTATGAGGCTGAAGGTACACATGTACCCCAGGCAGATCCCTGCCAGTATTATGTAGCACAGCTCCCTACTGGAAGATTTCACTACTGGGGTATCGCGGAACCTGAACACATTCAAACAAACAATTATGTGCAGAAACTTGTAAGTTAAGACAATCCAGTATTTATCCAAGAATTTAAACACACACCCAAGAAAGCAGTGATTGAGAAAATTGTATAAATCGCAAATTAGGTATGTATAGTGTTTATCTCTGGCACTGTTTGCATTGTTCTTCTCAGTTTAAATATTTTCTGAGACAGAGGAGAGATTCATTACCTGATGAAGACTGCAGTGACAAAGAATGTGAACATGAGACCGAGGCAGGCAAAGACCACAGCAGCAATGGGTTCAGGGTCTCCCCACCGCAGGTACTCCACTGGGATTGGGTCACAGCCTGGGAATAGAAGTATGTGGAGATGTGGTTCATGAAACAAAATGAATCAAAGACTTTCAGTTTATGTGTGTGAAGCCCGGTGACTATAGATACTATAGAGTGAGGCTGCCTTTTGCCAAACATCTAACTACATAGTTATCTGTATTCTTTACCTTCTATGTCTTTCATTTTCTTCACGTGACTCTTATAACCTTTGACATCAAGCTTTGACTCACATCTGACGCAGGTTGAGCGTCAGTGTGCAACGCTTGTTCTGCTGACCGGCAACCTGCACAGGTCAGGAATCGAGTCGCGCATGTTGGACTCACTAGTGTCCAGATTGCAAAGTCTCAACAATTAACTGATTGACCAGCACTGCCTTCAGTAAAAGCCTGTCTTTTGGTTAAACTCACTAGTATTTAGTGAACATGTGTGTGTGAGTGTGTGTGTGTGTGTGTGTGTGTGTGTGTGTGGTTGTGTGTACATTTGACTAAACTGAATGAGTATTTAGTAATCATCAATCTGTAATCCATCCATTATCAAAATGAGGATTTCACTTTTTTTCTCACATCTCTCTTTCTAAGTGCCCCGTCACTCACATCAGACTGCATGCCTTTTGACCTTGCAATGCACACTTCTCTGTTGTCCACACCTTCTTCCTTATCCCTCCATTTGTGTCTCTATTTCTTCCTTTACCCCTGTCATTCAATCTTTGCATCCGTTTCCTGTCCCTCTCCTTTTCTTACATAATGCCTAATCCATCCCTGTGTCTCTCTCTTTTCCCCTTAATATATCCCTTATCTTTATTCATCCCTCCCACATTTCTCCCTAATTCTCTCCCTCCTTCCATCTCTGTCTTCCTTCTAGGCAAGGAGATAAAGTTTCATTAATTAAAGGGACAGTTCTAATTATGAACCTTCTTAACGCTTGCTCAAATATCTGGCTGGTTGGTCAAGACATATTGTAGCAGCAGGGACGCACCAAGATTTTTTCTTAAACTTTCTGTCCCTATACACATGTTCACTTTAATGTTCACTTACTCTCTCTCCTCCCTTTCTCACACACAAACACACACACACACACACACACACACACACACACACACATACATGTACATGCAACTATTCTTACAGTATTGCAAATGGCAGAGAGAAGAAGAGTCATTAAAAAAGTATTAAGTAATCGAATGACTTAAGTCTTTAACACGGTCAATAAAGTTGATCAAATCAGTGAAGTGGTTAGGTCTAGGGGGCATAAACAGCAGCCTAATGGCTGGGGAGCCGAGGGGACAGAAACAAACAGAAACCTGCAGGCTTATATCCCTGTAAAGTCATTTCAGTAAAACTGGATACAAATTGAGACACAACACGCTCAACTCCCAATCAAACCTTTAAGACTGGTGCTTAATGTAGATGATAAAAAAGGCGAGTCTAGGAAAGCACTCCAATTTCACTTTTTAATATACATGCTGATGAGGGGCATCTTGCCCAAAATGTCCGTGTGGCAATATTAAGGTTGAAGTGCTGTCGTAGTTACAACTGGATAAAACTTATGTAAATCATGCTTTTAAAAAGTACGAGGTATTGAACATCATGCAGTGTGTGTAAAGCAGAACAATCTGTCTAATAATCGTATTTAAATAAATACATAAATAAGTTGAAATGGAGCAGCTTCACAACAGATCAGAACCTCTTTTTTCATTTTAGGAATTACTTGTATGTAAATGTAACTGTTAAATATCATGGAGGTAGTTTTTTTTTTACTACTTAAGCATAGCACCTCCTTAAGAGACAAGGACGACAGCTACTGTCCTGCCTAACAATGAGGGGTAAGGACCACCCACCCTTGGCAGTGTAAGTAGGGAGGAAACTAAGGCCCTTGCTGAGAATTTAGCTCCAATTAATCCTGCCCACGTAAATCTAGATGTTGGGGCCGAAAATCCCAGATCAGTGTTTTTCTCTCATGAGTTGTCTCATAGCAGTTGAAAAGCATTAGATACGTTGGCTTTTTAACACTTAATTAGTTCACGGAACCTGCAGGAAATCGTGTTGTATTTGACCCTAAGCCAAACTACTGCATTCCGGGAGGGGGACCGTTTGGAGGGTTCAGTCAATATAAAGTTTTGAGGCAAACTCCTTCAAACACTCTCAGACTCAAACTGTGGAACTTTACCGATCAGTGGAGAGGCTAAAATCCCAAAGCTAATCCTCCCTTTTCCTGCTCCTCTCACTTGCCCTGACTGCTGCTTCTGTCACAGCCTCTATTCATCTCCATCTCTCTTTCTGACTCACTCATTCCTTCTCTTTATGTTTCTAAGTTACTTTTCTCCCTCTCTTTTTCTAGCTTTTGCTCGATTGCTATCGCGCAAACTCTCTTATTGCATTTTTCTATGATTTTCACACCCACTGCACATCTGTCCCTGCCAGATGAGACCATGCTCTATCTCCTCTATTCCCTCTGGCTCTTTATCTCTCCCTCTCTTCATCTTTCTCACTCTCTCTTTTGGCCTGAGGGAGAGAGATCAAAATGTCTGCTGGAGGAACAGGGCAAGCAGTTTGTTTACACCTCATTATTACTGTTCCATATAGCCCCACTAGGGAACTCGCAGCACTTATTGTTGATGAAATGAGTCGCATACACGTACTCACACACATGGACATGCGCAGGCAAACACACACAAAGTGATACACTGCTAACCCCAATCACTCTTTTGATTCTTTATCTCCCTCTTTTTTTCACTGGCAACCTCGTCTTTGTCATTTTCTCACCCGTTCGCTGCCTGTTTTAGTTTAAGGATGCTTCTCTCTCTCTCTCTCTCTCTCTCTCTCCCTCTCTTTCTGGCAGTGAAGCTCAATCTGAATTTTCAGCAGGGCTCAATTCATGTTTTAATCATTGAGCTTGGTGAGGAGCTAGAAAGCAGTATAATGAGCAGCTGTAAGCATAACAAGGCAATATTCAACCGCTTCGAACGCAATGGAGGGGAAATACATTTTCCTTGCAACTGAAGCGCATTTGCATTGAAAGCTGTTCTTGATGAAGAATAATTAAAACATTGGTGACCATGTTGGTCACGAATTAAAAGGGATGAGAGAGAGGGAGGGAATGGGAGGGGAGGGGAGGGAAAGAGGAGGCGAGGGTGAAACGAAGAAATCGTCTCTCTGTAACTGGTGCAGGACTTACTGTATAATATTATGCTGTAACGGTATGCTGTATCAGGGAAAACAGAACTATCTCATTCTACTAAACACCCTTTATTCTATGACCCTACACACACATTGTTCATTGCAGTTTCCTTCAAATAGCATCACTACTGCATTGATATTCCAGGAAATTTCTTATATGTTATTCATAAACATGCCCACACATACATTCAAACATGCACAGACTGACCTGTGAGGTCAAAAGTAGGCCAGGAGCCCAGTTCACAGGCTCGGCAGGTGTACTCGTCGAACACAAACTCATTTTCTTTGCAGGGAGTGCACGTCCAGCAGCAGCTCACCTCACCTTTACGGATCACCTGGAAGGGACGGAATGCCAAATGTCTGTCTTTGTGTAGCACATGCATGCACCTCATGTGCACCAGGCACTGTATTACGTGGAGCCTTTTGTTCCACTAATAATCAGAATGACGATGCCTCGCGCACACATTCTGATACATTTTTAGTTATTGTCTATTCCACATGTGAAAATGTGTCATGTACGGTAAACACTGGATTCACAATATTGCCTGTAATGACCTCTATAACATTTACCTCCCCATGTAACCAGATATTTATTTGTATGAATCCTCTTACCTTAATTTGTCCTTTGTCACAGGGTTCACTGCAGACTGACTTGATCACAGCTTCTTTGCTAGGCCAGATTTCATCATCATCCATCCTCAAGCCTCTGTTGTCCCAGCTGCCAACGTTAATGTAGTCGTAGTAGTCCTTCCCCATCTTTTTGAAGTTCATTATTTCATACCTGTGGATGAAAGGTACATAGTATACATCCAACATATTAACACCCACATAGTCGTGTCATACGACCATTTAACCCAAGAGAAAGTTAATCCGTGACAGCTTTGTTGAGTTACAGTGCGTACCTGCCAGGTGAGTCTCCGTTAGCATCGAATAGGATTCCCTCCCCTGACACGCCTGTGAAGTTGGTTTTCATCAAGAAGTCCAACAGTGTAGCACCATCTATAGGTCGCATGGCATCACACAGGCCCTTAAAATACATGAACAATCCTGTCATATCCAACAGAAATGTCCTGACCCACAGCCTAACAAACACTGTTTCATCTAAGTTACTTTGGAAATGGTGGTTTATGGCCACCCAAGTTAAAAGTCAAAGAACTGAATGCAATGAACAGTCAAAATATTCCTTTACTGTCATTAAGCTGAGTATTAACTCTATTGTATTCAAAACATGATTACTGTACAGTGAGTTAGACTAACATAAAGATAAACTTAAAGCAATCACAACACCAGCAGGGATGCTCCACGTTTCATGAAAATTCAAATGTGCAGTGTGGCAGGTATTATTTTCTATCCCATGACTTTCCATGGCCAATCAGTGCCAAGTTCAATCATCTCATGACAAGTTAGAATTCAACCCGTGTCTGAAATGTTTCATTCCAGTTTACATATCTGCGGGTGACATCTGAAGTCATACCCACAAAGCTACAACTAACATGAGCTGAAATCTGGAAAAGTGAAGCTGCACTGATGTATTCACTCCTGCGTTAGCTAAACTTGTCTCAGTTTCGTACCTTTCAATTCAAATTAGCAAGTACTGTTTATATAGTTCATGCAATCATCCAGGTTCCCATCTTGCACGTTCCCGGTGAGGTTTATGTAGTGTGACAATGAGTCAAAACAGGCCACCATGGAAACAAGGTCAAGTATAATATGGCAGCAATAGCCAGCTGGCAACGTCCTTTTGTCCCAACATTCCCCCTCTCCACCCCTTCATCTCCTTGTACTAGCATGTCCCTCCATTCATCCATAAGAGCGCTACCTACCTGATAGCCTGGGCAGAGTGCCCGTTGCATGTTATGCAAGCCATATGCCATCGAGTAGATGGCATTAATGACAAACCCCATCTTAGTGTCCTGTGCATACTGCTGCCGAAGCGACTCTCGCTCTGCAGAGGCGGGTGGTTAGTGTCGGGAGGGGGAGGGGGAGGGAGAATTGGGTTGGTGAGGAAGGATGGAAAGAGAAAGGCAGGTATATCAGAGAAACTCTTAATTTCCCTTCTGGTTTTATGAAAAACAGTGTGCTTTCTTTTCCTGACATCAAAGACCACTCTCTTTCCTCTCATTTCTTCTCATCGACCACTTCCCACCTCTACGTCTCATTTCTGCCTGCCTCTTTCTGCGTCCCGTTCATTTGTATTTCATGTCCCATTTCATTAGAATACGCGAGACATGACTCCCTTTGATGCAGCTCCCACACACAGTTTTGCCTTTGAATGGAGGGATTGAAACAGAAAGAGAAAGATGGGAGGGGGGGAGGACGAATACAAAGAAATAAAGGGAGGGTGCACTCACAGCCACAAGGGATATCTCCAGATGAACCTGTGTGTATCCATACGATGTGTGTGTGTGTGTGTGTGTGTGTGTGTTTTCAGACAGTCTGTTTTTATGTAATTTGCATTAATAGTGGCCATTATGAAAGCCTGTCAATAAAAATGCAGATTATTACTGTAGCCTGTTATGCTGAACCAAAACAATGTAGCCTCCCTCTTTCTCTGCACAACAGATGGTCCTGTTCAAAACAGAAGTCCAGTACAGCTGTAACTCGGAAACCCTGTGTTGTCTTTGTCTGTACTCACAACTACAGGTGTTCAAGAAGTAAATTTCAGGTCTTGTCCCAATGGTATGTTTATTTGTGTCTGTACTCACTGCTACAGGTGCGGTTGTATTTGAGGCTCTCCTGCGGGTGACCTTTAAGTCGACAGTGGAAACGATGCTGCCAGAACTCTGGAAACCAGGGGTTCCTGAGGTTGTTTTCAGGGCGAAGTTTAAGGTAGTACTCGTCAAACCACTTCACATCAGCCGACTGGAGCTTGATGGTAATACCACCCGCCGCTTCCCTAACATAGCCATCTGTTACATCATACCGGTCCGCCCATCCATCACTGCGCACACAGAAAAACAAGGAAAAGCAAAAAGGTTTAGCACACTGCATCAATTTATCCGTGAGAATGAAAATACCCGCTCCACTGTTTCACAATCAAAACAACATGTACAGTGTTTCCTCTGAATACGTGGTGGAATCATTTGATCAATTCCCAAATATTTATGCTGATTATGCTGCACAAGCCATTTAGAGAACTTAATTGGACACTAATTTTGGGGGAAAAGATTGAGGTGGGCAAATTGCCTCTGTGATTTTGGGTCCTACTATCATAATTGAAGGTTGAAATAACAGGTTTGTCCTGCTAGAATAAGCCTCCCAGCAGCTAACTCTTACACCTTATCTGGACTCCATTACTGTTTTCAGAGTCTGTGTTTCTATGAGAGAGCCTCCGATATCTAGAAGGAACCGTCTTGCAGGTGTGCTGTCTGTATACCTTTTATAGGGCATGCTCCTATACGATTTTAATGAGCCTGATTAGCTGTGCGTATACTGTACATGAAAATTACAATGTGCCGAGATGCAAAGAGGTCAGCCTCTAGAGCCCATTAGAGTGCTAAGCTTTCTTCACAGAGCGGAATTGTGTGGGTGTGTTTTAGCCATCTTGTGGGGACATAAATCTGTTTACACAGTCACATTGGGAGGACCTGCCTTCCTTTTTGGAAACTAAATGGTGATAAAATGCAAGTCCCCATAACGTAAATCATTACAGTTTAGGGTGAAGAACTGGTTAAAGGTCAGGGTAAGGGTTAGGATTAGTTAGGATTGTTCACTGCATGCAGTGAACAGCTGACATGCCTTTTATTGGATGAAATTACATTTTGGGGTTGAGAGATGAAGTGCGAGGGCAACATGGCACCATAACAAATAAACACTATTCCACTCACACACACACACAGATGAAGACATTTACTTGGCGAGGGCTCCAGTTTCCTTTGAGAAAGGGACAAACGAAGAGAATGAGCAACGGAAACACACGGAAGACGAGCGAGAGACGAGAAGCAGAAATAACAAATCAGGAAGGAAAAAAAAACTAACGGAGGTACAAACAGAATGATTAGCAGAGAGGATATGTGGGAGGGAACTCTTACATCATTATGGTCAGTGTCCAAAACTCATATCGCTGACAAATGGGCATAAACATTACGCACAGACACACACACACACACACACACACACACGCGCACAAACACCAGCCGTGTGCTGAGATGAACTAGGTCAAATGGAGTATTTTGGCTGCAGCTCAGCAGCCGTGCCCCGTCAGACACCAGCAAGACGAATATAACTTCCTCACAATACACACACTGACAAACTGTGGAGAGATATATCGCTGTAGTTTGCATAATTTTTTTTTTGGGGGGGGGGGATTTGGGTTTACTGCTCCTCAAGGAAGCACAGATGGCACAGTGAGAGTGTGTGTGTGTGTGTGTGAGTGTGTGTATGAGGGAGAGATAAAGAGAAGAAGGGAAAGAGAGAGGCGTCGATGTGAATGACAAATCTTCTCTCCTCCTTTCACCACTACTGCCAACATGGCCCCGAGCAGGACAATGATCCCCGGTTCTTCCAGTGGAAATGCTCATTTCGTCCTTTCTTCCCCTCCGTGCCTCCAGAGGACAAAACTCATTTTTTCCTACAGCAGGCCTTCCAGCCTCATTCTGATTGGAAAATGAAAATGTTTGTGTGAGTGAGTGTGTGCGTGTGTGTAAACTGCCTTCTCCGTCTGCCTTCCGTCTCTTTTTTTTCGTCTTTCTTTTCTGTCGTTCTTCTTGTCACCCTCAGCTTCTAAGCACTGGTCATGTGTGTGTGGGTATATGGAGGGAAAGGTGTGGGGGGTGAGCAGCGGTTCTGTTGCCAATGTAATAATTCTTTTTAGACATTCCTCTCGTATTTATATTTACTTTTTCCCATGGCCTAGTGTCAAAAAAGTAAACAAAAATGACATTATCGTAATAGAGAACCGCAATACATACTAATCGCAGTACGCATTGAGTCGGCAACCAAGTATCGTGATAGTATTGAATTGGGAACTAAGCATAGCGTCCCAGCCCTACTGTTCAAACCGCTGGCCGCTTTGGGACTGGTGGCATGCAGAGGACGCTGTCCCACAACGTACCGAGTGTCCTCACAATGGATCCATCAGTAGCTCCCCTGAAGGCAGACTGAGTAGGATTTGGGGTATTCACGTGAGTATTTGCTCCTAGTCATCGTTTAACAGAATGTTGTGTTGACATTATGCGATACATTGGGTGGAAGAGTGAAAAACGAAGAAATTGTGAAAAAGGACAAAATAAAGACAAAATCTAAGGCAGTGAAACAGATTCAGAAGTAAACAATCCATGATCGTTAATCAATCCTTTCCCATCCTGTCGATAGATTTATTCTTTTGTCCCTCTCATACAGTTTTCTTGCCCATCTGTCTCTTTCACCCTCTCTTATTAACACCTTCAGCTTTCCCTTTGCCCCTTTGCTCACCATCCTCTTCTTCCCCATCCTCCCACTTTGTCACATTCCACTGCATCCCTCTGCCAAACATGTCCTCTTCTGTTTTTACTGTTTCTTAAGTACACAACACATACACCTATGAAAAGCCTTTTCAACATTTTATTCAGTAGGGCAGACTAGTAGCGATTTAGTTTTCACTAGTCAAAATGTCATTTCGACATGTTAAAATGTCATTTCGACATGTTAAAATGTCATTTCGACGAGCTATAATGTTAATTCATGGTATAACAATTTTGATGTGTTTCAAATATATTTTCATACATAGAAAATGACATTTACTTTCCCAGTCAAAACTGATTTAGATATCTTAAATTGAATTATACATATCAGTAATTCCTTTGTCACTAATAAGAATAACGATTACAGATATCTACAATAGAATTTCTACATGTTGAAAAAGGATTGTGAAATGTAATTTTCCATTTTTTAGATATCAACAGTTGCATTTCAGTAGGAATATAATTTCCAATAGTTACAATTGTACTTCACATATCTGAAGTACAATTCTAGATACCTTAAATTACAAGCTGACATATCAATAATACAATTATAGATAAAGAATTCCATTTATGATATCTTTAATGTCATAACAATTTTAGATGTCTCCAATGAACATTGCCACGAGTCAGTAATTAACATTTTGACTGGTGATAATTGAGTTGTAGATATCCTTAATTAGAATTGCGACAAAAAAATGACACTATGGATATGTGGACATGGAGTTATAACACGTCAAAATTAAATTGTAGATATCTATAATTGAGTTTGAATAGAAGTCAATGGTAAAAGTTGACTAGTTGAAATTAAGATACAGATATCTACAAATAATATTTTCCGCTAGTAACAAATGAATTGTTGATATCTATAATTAATATTTGACTAGTGAGAAATAAATTGTAGATACCTTTAATTGTTTTAATTAAAATTGCTACAGTTCAGATATACATTATGAATATGTTGGCTTGGCGAATGCTATATCTTTGTTTAACAGTTAACATTTTTTGATATTTACATTATTTGTTAGCTGCATGAGTCTGGCATACTGTGTAAAACATGTTTTTAGTCAAAGTTGAGGGTAGCAGCACTGTAGCCATCATGGCAAAGTCTCTAATATCAACTGGTAATCAAACACAAGACTAACATTAACAAATGTAACATCAACACTGCAAGCCAAAGCATTGATTCCTGAGCACAACTTGAAGTAAGTAACGTTAGCTACTTGTCATTTATATATAAATCCAAAAATATATTTGTGAATCCCTCTGTGGGCATTCAGTGACATTCAGATTGATCTGACACCATACACTTACAGCCCATTACGGGCCGAAAGTACAAAACAACGGCAACATGTACACAAATGCACTCCTAACCACAGCTGCATTAACAACCAACTGAAAGTCTAAATATTTCTAGACAATGTGTCTTAACTCTGCTTGTGCTGCTGAGGTTTTAACCTCAAATCGGTGAACTTCGCCATGTTCATCTTCTCACTGTCTCACCAAACAGCTTCACTCGCACTGAATTATATGCTCAGTGATCAAATATCAGAAATTAAAAACACTTCAAAAACTATGCAGTGTTTTATTTCCAAATTTATAATTGGCCCTTCAGGAAGTAAAATGTTTCGTTAGCTCTCTCTGAAATAATATTTGCTTTCGTCTCTGTCCAGCACAAATAGCATAAGAAATGTGATTTTAATAATTTCTCAGTTAGCTCAGTAACTCCCACTCATGTTGGAACAACAGATGTAGCAACAATACATTTTCTTCCAAATCCCAAATATTTATAATTGTTTCTTAACATGTATATCAATAATAATTTCTGTGGTCTCAGTTTTCTTTCCAGGCACTCTTGTGCTTAATTGGACAAAGCATCATAAAATGCCATATTCAAACAGCAATGTGGTGACTTCTGTTTTTGAGGGGCCTCTTATGTTGAATCCTCATTAATGAATTGTCTGAAATAGCTGGATGAAAGCAAGGATCACTGACACAGAACAACTTTCACTTATAGCAGCCTGAAAAAGATACGAGACCATACATGCACTTTTCTAACACACAGTGACGTCAGTCTTCACCTGCGCCTCTTTGGTATCTCGGTGACGCGTCTCTCCAAGTAGGTGGTGAGGCACAGCAGGGGTCGAATGTTACCATCTGTCAAACAGCAAACTGCAATCTTGGTGTCAAGGCTGAACGCAATGCTCGAAATAGGTCTTTTGTATAACTGCACCACAAAAAACCTTGACAGTAACTGCACGTGTGGTTAATAAGTGTTTCAAACTCAAACCACCTGTGAGGGGTGGAAAACACAGTGGGCGGTCTTTTTGTATCTCCAAAAACGTTAATTTATCTTCAGTTAACTTGAAGCCATATCACCTGCTCTATACTTATATACTTGTACACAGCATAAAAGATACGAGAGGAGCTGATGTGACTGGCTAGGATTAACACAGCCACTGATAATGTAGAATATGCTGCGGGGATGACGTATGTTTTTGGC